TAAAATGAAAACCACAAAATATTAAGAACCATAAGAACTCCCATTAGTTAGTAAATATTTACATGATATTCTTATTAAACATGTGAATTTTTTTTTTCTCTTTTTGATACAAAAAAGACAAAATTATAATTTTTGCAGTATAATATTTTCATTCTTATATGCTCTCATATTTGAACACAAAATTTATATAAATTACAAGTTTATACAGTACATTTACAGTTTAATTCACAAAATTTACAACTTAATACAAACCATTTTACAATAATTCACAAACTCAAAGAAATCAAAAATTCAAACTATACTACTACCACCACCATATGCTGCCACCAACCACATGTACCAACATCACAACCATTATTTTCTTCTAAATCAGATATGTAAATAAAATCATGCATTAATAACTTAAATAGTATATTTACAGTCTAATAAAACCATCTATTTCACTCATTTTGAATTTAATGCAAAACTATTATTAAAACTAATGTATTCTTACATACTTATACAGCACAAAAAAAATATTCAGAAGAAAATTAACAAAAAAATTTATACACAAATCATTCATATTTTAAATTGTGAATTTAATATATTAAGCCGTGAATAAAATTTACATTATTTAAAAGCAACCAAAAAAATTATAAAATAATTACAGCTTAATGTCAATTCATTCACAACTTAATACAATTAATTCATAATTTAATACACAAAATTCACAGCTTAATATAGTCAATTCATAGTCTAAAAAGAAAATTCACAGTTTAATGCAGTCAATTCACACTTTAAAACACATAAATCACAGTTCAGTACAAAAAATTCAAAGTTTAATACACAAAAGTATGCATCCACAACCATATTTTCAATTTAACACTCCTTATATAGTCAATTCAAAGTTTATACACAAAATTCATAGTTTAATACAAATAACTTCATACTTTCATACGCACAATTCACACCTTAATCTAGTCAATTTACAGTTCAAACAGAAAATTCACAGCTTAATGCAGTCAATTCGTAGTTCAAAAAGAAAATTCAACGCTTAATGCAATCAATTCACAGTTTAAAACACAAAAATCACAGCTTAGTACACTAAATTCATATTTTAATACACAAAAAGTAGTATTTACATCCATATCATCAACTTAAAACACTTACTACAATTAATACACAATTTAATATAGAAAATTCACAAACTAGTATCATAAATTCAAGGTTTAATTCAAAAAAAATTATACATTCACAACTTAATATGAGTTAAAACTAAGATTAACAAAATTATACGACAAATGAGAGATTAAAACATCAAATTCACACTTTAACAGAAAAAACAAACAAAAAAATAGATTAGGACTTTCTTTCATAGTATTCACTACTTAAAACTATAGGAATTCACTCATTCACAGTTAAAACGAACTTTAACATAACCGAACAATAGTTGAAACCTTAAAAATCATAATTCACAGCTTAAAAAAATAAATTCACATTGTTCGAGAAAACATTAACATAATAACACATCCTCTAAGTTTTAATTCACAGTATAACAACCATCAAACATAAACTATGAATAACAATTTGATGCATATGTTATAACAAATAAGAAAAAAAAAGCATGGATCCACAACTTAACAAAAGAAAAAACTATGATTAACAAAAATAAACAATAAACGAGATATTAAAACATTAACTTTACAGCTTAACAGAAGGAAAAAAAATAAAAATAAATAATTGACATACCTGATGTGTTTCACTGGAGGTCAGAGAGAAAGAGATGGAGAAGGTGACGGTGTTGGAACGTATCTAAGGTGGTGGAACTACCATCAGCTACCGGTACCACTATTATAGCTTCAGATATATGCATGAAATAGTACAACATAAACCAGATCTAGAAAAATCAAACCATACACACCAGATCTGACTAGATCTGAACATGATGTCGACAGTAGGAGGTTGTGGTGTGACATCAGTGATGGTAGCGATGGAGGAAACGAAGTTGACGGTGGTATCAACTCTGACCAAATCGCACCAGAACGAAGATGTTTTGCGTTTTAGAGAGGGAAAGTGAAGCTGAAACAATTTCGTGACTCTAGATCTTAGACCAGGTGGCGATCGATGGTGGATGTTGAAGTATTTTCATCAGATCTTGTCAGATACGTGTTTCCGTTGGCGGTGACAGTGATGGACGAAGGTGGTGGTTATCACCGCTCGTCGGAGCTCATAAATATGGAGGAGAAAATGGTAGATCTGAAGACGAAAATGGTAGATCTGAAGACGAAATTCGTAGATCTGAATACAAAAATCGTAGATCTGAAGATGAAAGTCGTAGATCTGAAGATGAAAATCATAGATCTGAAAACTAAAGTCGTAGATCTGAAGCTGAAAATTGTAGATCTGAAGCTGAAAAATTGTAGATCTGAAGCTGAAATTGTAGATCTGGAGCCAACCGGAACTTGTTAATCTGATGGCGGTGGTTCGTCGATGGTCGGAGGCGGCGACGGTACGCCGGCGGTAGGAGGCGGGGACAGAAGGGGTGGTGGCTGGTGGCAACGGGTGGCAATGTTTATGTGTTCTTCAAGTTTGAGATGAGAGAGAAGATAGAGTTTGTGTAGTGTGTAAAT